CCCAAGGTACCCTGAAGTCGCCAATCAATGGACCCAGTCATGGGCGCTGTGTGACATCTAGTGGATAATGAGGGAATTGCAGGAGACCCCAAAGCTGTCTATCAGGAAGTCAGGCCCTGCCTGGGGGGTGTTGGGTAGCGGGACATCAGGACCATCCACAAAAATTGCAGCCTGTTGAGGAGGGAGGTAGGAACCAGACAACCACAAAATTCCAAGCAGGGGCAGTAGGAGATCCTCTAGTAATTGCTTTTGATGTGAGGAATCAAAGGAGGCTTCCTGGATGAAGCATATCTAGGCAAAGCATATGGATGGATGCGCATAGGTGGCAACAAGCCGTGAGTTGGTGGAAGTTGTGAGCCACCAGCCTGCACGTGCTATGTGTGATGTGTATGTTCACATAGCAGGTGCTCTGATGTGGATTCGTGGCAAGTCATAGTCAAGCCATTCCTGCGTGGAATTCTGGAGTGCACATGCCTGGAAAGAGTGGTTGCTCCTAGCAACATTCCTACTAACCTCAGCAGAACAGATCTTGTGAACATTCCATGGGGTCCCTTCTCTACTAGAGAATGAGATGAACCTTCCAGTCAGGCTCCCTGCACAACTCCTTATCTCCTTCAGTATCCTTCACAGAATCCTTGAGAACTTGCCATCATCTCCTCTGCCTCTCATAGAACCTGCCCCACTCCCTGGCACTTGATGAAGGGAGAGCCAGAGCTCATCCCTCCGCTGCCCCTCCATGACAGTTCTCATTTCCCCTAACACTAGCACACATGGCCTTGAGAGGCAAAACTAGAAAGAAGTCAAAACAAGGGAAGGCATTACCCTGTCCAAAAAGAAATGTGCTCATAGCCAGGTGCCAGTGGCTCATGCATGTAATCCTCACTAACCCAGGAGGTTGATATCTAAGGATAGCGGTTCAAAGCCAGCCTGGGCAGGGAAGTCCATGAAACTCTTACATCCAACTAACTACCAGAAAACCACAAATGGCATTGTGGCTCAAAGTGGTAGAGCACTAGCCTTGAGTGAAAAAGCTCAAGGACACCACCCAGGCCCTGAATTTAAGCCCCACAAGTGACAAAGAAAAGAAAAAAGAAATGTAGTCATGTACTCATTATCTGACTTATGTAACTGTAACCCCTCTCTATATCACCTTTATAATGAGAATATAAAGAGCAACTCTGTAAGCTGGTCTGATCCCCCTCCTCTTTTAATCACAGTGGACTTCTTTCCCCCTCCCCAATCTCATCAGCTTACCCTTTGCCCTGCCAATCACCTGCTCTCCTCATCTCAGCCCTTCATCCTCAAGGACATGGCCTTTTTATGTCTCTTTGGAATATACTTTCTTCTGGATATCACTGACTCCACTCAAAACCCCCAGTGCTAAAACTTGCTGAGACATTTATCTGCCCTTCATTGCTTCAGACGCCCCCCCCCCATACTTTTCAGCTTACCCTTTCTTCCCATCCCTCTTGGATCCATAGCTAACACTACAACCAAGCCCTGACATACACTGCCCATCCAGAGGAAGACCCTACAGCTTCTGGCTCTGATCTATGTTGCCTCTGCACCACCCATGCTGTGCTGAGGTGTTGCCATACAAGCTTGTCTTCGGCATACAAATCATTCCTGCCCCCTCTTCCAACATACTTCCCTAAACCCCATGCCTTCTTTCAGTTCCCTGGACCCCAAGCTAAAGGCTCTCAACCTGGACTATCTTCCCTTAGGCCCTTTCCAATTGGGTTCACACTTGAATGCTCCACTGAAATTCTCCTTTCCACAAGACCAAGGCCTGGATTCTTCTGAATCTTGGGGCCATTCACTGTCATCCATACACTATCCCTGGCTCTTTTGTTCAAAGCTAGCACTCTACCACTTTGAGCCACAGCTCCACTTCCAGTTTTCTGGTAGTTACTTGGAGATAAGAGTCTCGTGGGCTCTCCTACCTGGGCTGGCTTTGAACCTCAATCCTCAGATTCAGCCTCCTGAGTAGCTAGGATTACAGGCATGAGCCACCAGCGCATGGATCCATGCCTACTTTTTTCCCTTCTTGTTCACCTAGGGTCTCTCTTACCCACTGGGTACATGTAATCCTCTACCTCCTCTCTATGGACTTTCCCTGGGAATCTCACTTGTGAGCAAAGCTGGGAAAGCGTTCCTAACTCTGATGATAACAACCTTCACACCTCTCACTTTGCCCTGTCCTGTGCTTCTGGTGGGCCCCCACCTTCCCACCAGCCAGTCCCAGAGACATCTCAATTTTAATGCAGGCAAAACCTCTCCATCGCTCCCATGGTCAGCCCATTAAAAATGCCTCACCTGATTGTAATTCTAAGAAAAGACAAGACAAGACAAACCCAGACTAAGTAACTGGTCTCTATCCTTCCAAAGTGCCAATACTGGCCTAGGGATGTGTCTCAAGTTATAGTGTGCTTGGTGAGCAGTCATGAGGCGCTGAATTCAACCCCTAGTGCTTCCAAAATACTAAGGTTTTGAAGGATGAGGAAAGACTGAGTCAGACTGGGAAGGAACCAGGAGCCAGAGAGCTGGGTTGTGCCAGTGTCATCTTTGGGATCTCCATTAGCTGGCCAGGAAAAGGACTCTATCAAGGCGATTAAAATGTCAGTAATGTCTGAAGGTGTGTTAGTAGTGTTGTACACATGCTAAGATACCAGATTTGATCCTTGTCCTATGATCTGGTTATCTGATTAAAAGTTGGGGAAGTTGGCTAAAGTGTATATCAAGAGTTTTTAATACCATTTTTTGCAACATTTCTGCAATTCTGAAATTTCAAGATGGGAAAAAATCCTTGATAAGTCGTCTATTGTAATGCTTCTTCTCATAATGCCCTAGGTTCCTGCTCAACCAATGAACAGATCCGGGTGGCATCAATCAGTGCACAGCCCAGGAGAGGAGGTATGGAAGGAGCCCTGTACTATAAGAACTGCCCTCTGATCCTAACCCATTTCCTGCTTAGGGACCCCCTCCTCCTTCTTGGAGTGTGTACTCTACTTCCAGTTTCAAGAAACTTGCTACCTCATTATTTAAAGGGGAAAACAAAACTAATGCAAAGGGGCTGGGAAGGTGGCTTAGTGGTAGAGCGCTTGCCTTGCATGCATGAGGCCCTGGGTTCGATTCCTCAGCACCATATAAGCAGAAAAAAGCCAGAAATGGTGCTGTGGCTCAAGTGGTAGAGTGCTAGCATTGAGCTGAAGAGCTGAAGGACAGCACCCAGGCCAAGAGTTCAGGCACCATGACCGACAAAACAACAACAACAACTAATGCAAAGTAACCTGCACTTCCTAAAAACCCTATGCTGAACCTGTGCCCACTTAGGCTTTCATCTCTCAGGAATTAGTAGTTTGTCCATAGTTCCTTACCTTGCATAGTCAATCCTGTGAGTTCTAGTTCTGGTTGCAAATAATGCCCCGGGTCCGTGTACCCCCTCTACCCTTCTACCCCAGCATCTACTGTGCTGAGAACCACTGCCCCAGCCTCCAGCCAACCTCCTGTCTCCTCCACAGCCTTTTCTCCTCTGTAATCTAAAAGCCCTTCATCCCCTCACATGAGCCGGGCTTCTCACGGGTTCTGGTTTTGCTCCCCTCTCTCTAAGGCTGCTGGAGCTTCCAACCCAACCCTGCCTTTTTGCTCTAGAGACTGAGTCTTTTCCCCTGTTGCTCATATGGCTGATTCCCTGACATTTTTCAAGTCTTGCTCAGTGAGTGTCACCTCCTCTTAGAAGCCTTTCAGGATAACTCTATTCTGCCACACTAGTTTCCTCCCTGCAATCATAACCCTCTTCATCCCCCTGAGTCAACTAGAAAATCCACAGGTTGGAGACTGGACTCACTCTGACATGTTCCAGCATCCAGCCCCATGCTAGGCACATGACGTGTGAGTAATCAAACCACTGGATGATGCAGTGGCAGGCCAGGTCCTCCACTGAGGTCCCTCTTTTCCTCCAGTGTCACTCTAGGTGTCAATATAGGCATAAGAGATCCCCAGGCTTCTTGAGGACAAGCCTGTGAAGTCCCCTCTCCACTCCTCCCAGATCTTTCCAGGGACCAGACAGCTTCTTCCAGCTCTGGCTTCCAACAGAGGAATCTCTAGAATTCCAAGATTGTCTCTGGAATGCCCAGCCTGTCTGGAAAATGCCCGGGCTTGGGCACAGGTGCAGAAGCAGTAGGGTAGCTGGGTGGAGAAAAGACAGCTGTTGACATTCTGGCTAGAGCCTGGGTCACCGTGGCAGCTGTCTCTCTTGCAAGCATCATTACCAACACCTCCACTTCCTTGAAACATGGAGCCCACCCTCAAGGCCAACAGCACTGTTCTCAGGGCCACTCTAGCCTGGGTATTCCAGGCTCACCATCCTCGTCCACTTCATCAGGCGTTTGTTTCCTTGTCAGGGATGGAGGCCTGGTGGCTGGAGGCCAGTCTCTGAAGGTCACAAGAACTGGAAATTAATTCCAGTTTTAGATCTGATCCATGATACAAGAGCCTTTGCCTAGAGGTTGGATGTTGGATTTTCCCAAAAAGTCACCAGATGACCACATCTGTGAAATGGGTGATGCAGTGCAGAGAAGATTATATGCTCTTCCTCCCCTCCCTCCAGCCTGGGAATCAAGGCTGCTCATGGGAAATATGAGCAAGAAATGGATTAGAGCAGCTATGGATCTGCTGGACTCCAAAGGATCTAACATCACTTTATCCAGGGCTGAGAAGTTGCTAGGATTGCAGGGCTAGGAGGCATTCAGGGCTTACTGCAGCTAACTGTACTCCCCAAGTAGGGGCCCTCTAGATTGCCATCCTGGCTGATTAAAGTAATGCCTTAGGGCATTGCTAAAATGTGGGCTCCAGGGCTACCATGGTCTCCAGAGGCTCGATTGCTGCAGATAGGGCACAAAGGAGGGCACCTCTGCAGCCAGCCTGCCTAGGATAGGGTCAACAGGAAAAGTCCTTGGCCCTGGGACTTGGATCAGAGCCAGACACTAAACCTCCAAGGAACAAGGCTTTATTTGCACTCTCCAGGACAGGGGTAAGGAGCGGGTGAGGAGGGCCAGGGGTCAAGGACACAGCCAGGCTCAGGGCCTAGAGAGTCTGGCCCTCCTGCCCCAACCCAGAGTCTGTCTGGAGTGGGAAGATGGGCATTGGCAGCTTTGGGCAGAGGTCAGCAGCTTACTCCACACCCTTCATGAACTCCAGGAACTCTGTGGAGAGAGAGGCAGGCATGGATCAGAGGTGTAGGCCAGGCTGAATGTTGACCACAGGGAAGTGGGAAGGTCTTCCCTCCACCCACTCACCATCATAGTCAATGCGGCCATCATTGTTCTTGTCGCCATCCTTCATGAGCTCCTCAATGTCATCTTCTGTGATGGTCTCACCTGTAGCCTGCAACATCATCTTCAGCTCCTCCAGATCAATGTAGCCATCAGCATTCCTGCAAGGAAGGCAAGAAGGACCTCAGAAACTAGGGCAGGTCAGTGTGAGGGGAAAAGGTAAGATGGGGGCATTGGGAGATGGGTCAGGGCAAGAAGTCAAGTATCTGTGCTCACTTGTCAAACATGCGGAAGAGGTCCGACAGCTCCTCCTCAGATTTCCCTTTGCTGTCATCCTTCATGCACCGCACCATCATGACCAGAAACTCATCAAAGTCCACTGTGCCACTGCCTGGGTGGGCAGTGCAGCTGTTAGACCTCAGTTAATACTGTAAGCAACACCCTTCACATACACCAACTCCATGAGTCTCATTAGGCCACTGTGCCCACTTTATAGATAAGAAGACTGAGGCTTGGGGACAAAAAAAAGTCTCCTGATTAAACAGAAACAGGATGTAAAGACATGGAGGGGCTCACCATCCTCATCCACTTCATCGATCATCTCCTGCAGCTCCTCTGGCGTGGGGTTCTGGCCCAGCATCCTCATCACCTTGCCCAGCTCCTTGGTGCTGATACAGCCATCCTCAGCACCCAGCACAAAGATGTCGAAGGCAGCCTTAAACTCTGTGTCCAATGACCATGTGAGGAGACACAGCAGCCAGGGCTCACCAGACAGGAACTCAGAAGGTCAGACCCCTGAGGTCACCTGTCAATATGCCCACCTCCTTCTAAAAGGTCTCTGAGGTCACAGCAAGGGGATCACAGCTTTGGACTTTCAGCCTGGAGTTTTCTTCAATCCCCTACCATGCTCTTCCAGCCTGTTCCCCAGAGGTGCCCCTCTCCCCCCTCCCTCCCCCACCCCATTCCTCAGTTGACAAGAACACTTACCATTTTTCTGCTCTTCTGTCAACTGCTCTACCTGGAGAAGGAAAGGGGTCCTGAGACTCAGACTCAGGCCTTAACTGCTGTGGAAGAAACTAACCCATTCCAGGAAGGAAGACTGAAGCCAGAAAGAGGTGGTCATTTCCACGTCATGGAATAGGGGCCTCAGACCTCCTTTCTTGCCTCCAAAGCCATAAAGTTACCCAGCTAGCCTCACAGAGGCTGGGCTTGGGGTCAGTCTGACAGGTGGGTACTAGTTCCATGTCCAAGGTGACCCCACATAACACTCTATGCCCTTTGGGCCACCCTAATGAAACCCAAGCTGCATGGCCTGAGAGACAGCTGTCCTTCAAGTTGGGACAATAAAACCAATGTTAGGGATGAGCAAAGCCACCCACTGTAACCTGACCAGGATGACCACTGGACTATTTTTAACAGGGAGACAAAGTTAAACCTGGTGATTGTTCTGGGGACTTTGGTATGCAGGGGGTGGGGCAGCCTTATCAGGCTCTCAGGCTGCTTGTACTGCCTCAGGAGCCAAAATTAGTCCCCAGCCCTCCAAGCCTTCTATGGGCACTGGGTGGAGGGCTGCCTCCCTCCTCCCCAGCTCCATGGGCTCCTGCAGGATAGGCAGGGTTGCCTCTGGAGTCAGCTGTAGCCCTTCTCAGCCTCCTGAGTGGGGCCACATTCTAGGGGCTAAAGGGAGGGGTGTTTCCCCTGGGACAGCTGTCTGTGCCTGGATGTCCTTTTCTCTGGAGTGGGAGGAGGAACCCTTCCCCCCAGTCTAGAATAGCATCTGAAGCCCCCTCCCGCCCCCCCAGTGATCTCAAGAGGCTATAAAGACTTGAGGTGACTGCTCTCCAATCCTTATCTTCATCCCCAAAGCCCTGAACCCCAAGTTTTCCAGACCATGTGAGAGCTGGGCCCTTAGTTCTCTCCAAGTCTAATCTTTCTCGATGTTAGTCGTCAAAAGCCCCCTTCCCGAGCCCAAGACTCAGGCTTGGCAGCCTCTCTTTACAATGCCCTCTTCACAATCTCCTCTAAAGTAGTTCAGCCAGCTGAGAGGCTGGAGCGGGACAGCAGATGAAGAGAAGCAAAATGTAAGAAGCAGAAACGGGGTGACACGAGGGGAGAAGGCAATAGACACAGAGAGACAGTTCAGAAATTTTTTTTTCAAATAGAAGACCGGGAAAGAGCCCCACAACAACTACAAATACAGAGATTTGCTCAAAGGACAGTGACATAAACTGCAGACACTTAGAAGGGGACACAGGATACTAAAAGCTGGAACTTCCCCCTGTACCATTTCAATAGCCTCTCTTCAGACTCTGAGCCCCTCATCTTCTCTGCACCCCTGAATACCAGCTCCACTCTCCCAAAGGCCTGTGCTAAATATCTAACGGTCTCTCTTAGATCCCCATCACTTTCCTAGGTGACCTTGTTCCCCATTCTAAGCTACGCAGGTCTCCAGTGGGTCCACCCTCCCCTGCCCTGCCCAGGCCAGTCCCTCACCGCAGCCTTGTAAATGTCATCCATGCTGGAGCTCACAGGACAGATTGCTGAAGTTGCCAGCCAGCACTTAGCCTCAGCTTAAATAGCCCTGCCCCACATTCCCAGCCCAGCCCACCATTGCATGTGGTATCCTCCACCCCCTCCCCTGGCCTGAGTGATCTAAGCCTGGCCTGAGTTCCTGTATCCTCTGCCCAGGACAGGGAACAATAAAGGGCTTCAAGGACCAAGTTTCTTGCTCTCTGTTCCCCATACCTCACAGGGAAATCTCAGGAAAGGTTTCTTGAATGAATGAAAACATAAATCCAGGGTCAGAGCTGGAAAGTAGTAAGCCTCAGGCCAGGCTCTGTCCTATACACAGCAGCAGCTCCACCTTCCATCCAACCTGGGAAGTAGGTGCTATCACCCCTACTTTCCAGATAAGATAAAGGAGGATTCCTGAGGGCTTGATTTGCCCCCAAGATGTGGCTTATTGGATAGTACATGAAGAGGCTAGGACTCTTGGGCCCTGCCATAAGCAGCCTCAAAAACCAGGATCCGAGTATAGTCATATGGCACTTGTAAGGAAGTCACTGACACACCAAAACAGAGAAGTCTAGAGCCCTTCAGCCAGAGATACCAAAGGAGCCGTGCACAGACCTCCCATCACCCCAGAGGGAGCCGTGCTCACTTTGGGCTTGAGTCATTCAACAAACACTCCCACAGAGCCTCATCTGTGCCAGGCTCTCTTTCCTTACCCTCCATTTGAAATGCCACCTCCCTCTTCTAGGTCTGTTTTTCTAAGGGTTAGCACTGTAGTTCTTGGATGCAGTTCTTGGTTTGTACTCTGGCAAGATATCATTGGTGCCCAATGGAAAGCACATTCCCCTTCTCTCAGCCTGCAACCCTACTCAATACAGATCCCATTCCTCCACTAACACACCAGTTCTCCTGTCTTGTCCTTGACATGAATCAATTCTCTCAGGTCTCCAGGAGTGAATATGACAGAGACCTCAGAGTGTCAGAGAGACTAAGAAAAGTCTCAGCATGCTGGGCACTGGTGGTTCACACCTGTAATCCTAGCTACTCAGGAGGCTGAGTAGGAAACCAATCTGGGGCAGGAAAGTCCATGAGACTCTCATCTCCAATTAACCACCAGAAAACCGGAAGTGTTGCTATGACTCAAAGTGCAACCTCATTAGTCTTTTTTTTTTTTTTGGGGGGGGGTCCAGTTGTGGGGCCTGAACTCTGGGCCTGGGTGCTGTCCCTCAGCTCTTCAGCTCAAGGCTAGCACTCTACCACTTGAGCCACAATACCACTTCTGGCTTTTTTCTTTTTGCTTATGTGGTGCTGAGGAATCGAACCCAGGGCCTCATGCATGCAAGGCAAGCACTCTACCACTGAGCCACCTTCCCAGCCCAGCTTATTAGTCTTGAGTGAAAAAGCTCATGACCAATATTAGCGAAATGAGTTCCCTTTCCATAGCTTACTACACTCTTCCCCTCTCCACAGCTTAGCGTGCCCCCTTTCTAGGCAACACTAGGCCCATTTAGTAAAGGCAGCAAATAATCAGCCTCCAACCCCCTTTCCCTTGGGATGGCACTCCTCTGGGGCAGCTACCACCATATAAGTCAACAAGAGACCCTTAGAGTATCCCTTCAGGTCTAGGCAGTTGCAGGGCCTGTTATCTACTATTTATTTGGGCAGCAGCCATAAATCCTAGTCCGCCATGATGGAGCCCCTGGCCCTGAAGTCCACACCTGGGTCTCTACCTCCTAGCCCCTTCTAGCCCCTCCTAAACCTCTTAGGTTATGTAGGTCACCTCAGACAATAGCCAGCACTTCTTTTCACTTCTCCTTTATGATAAGAGGTCTTGCCTGCCCCTTTCCCTGCAATAAACCTTTCTTTTTTCTCTGTACCTGGATGTCTGCATGGTTTTCTGGCAAAGTCTAATTTTACTTTATCAACCAACAATAATAATAACAACAACAACAAAAGAAAGAAAGAAGAAAGAAAGAGGGGGGAAGGAGGAAGGGAAAGAGGGAGGGAGGGAGAGAGAGAGAGAGAAAGAGACAGAAAAGAAAGAAAAAAGAAAAGTCTCAGTGTCTGGTTGTGCAGTGTAAATAATAGGCTGGGGTTCAGACTGTGGAGAAATGAGGGTGGAAAGCTGCATCCTATCTCAAAAATAACCAGATCTAAAGGGCATGGAGGCATAGCTAGCTCATGCTGTAGAACATCTGCCAGCAAGCAGGAAGCCCTGAGTTCAAATCTCAGTACTGTCACAAGAAAGAAAGAAAGAAAGACAGAAAGAGAGAAAGAAAGAAAAAGAAAGAAAGAGAAAGGAAGGAAGAGAGAGAAAGAAAGAGAAAGAGAGAGAGAGAAAGGAGGAAGAAGGAAGGGGAAGGAAGGAAGGAAAAGCAAAGCAAAGCTGTTATTCCGGCCCTGTTGGGCTCTGGTCTAGCTCATTCCTTGGAGAAGGAACAGCCGGGTGAAGTGTTGTTAATTGCCCTTTTTCCACAGGGGGAAAGGTAAGGCTAGGCGGGAGCAGGGACTTGCTTCGGTTATCTTGCCCGAAGAGCAAGAGGCCCATGGCCTCTGCCATCCCTTCTTAAGGACCAAGGAGCGAGCGAGTACCGACCCCAGTGGCCTTTGCCTCGTAGCTAGACCAAACAACCCGGCAATTACGCAAGAGAGCCCTCAGGCCCGCACAGGCTGCGCATGCGCGCCGGGGGCGGGCCTGTCAAGCGCCGGGGGGGGGGGTCGGGGAGGGGTCCGGCGAGGGGGCGGGGCGAGGGAAAAAGACAGCAGGGCCAAGATGGCGGCGCGGGCGGGGGGCGGCGGGGGCAGGGGGCTGGGGGGACGCTAGCCCCGCCCCCTGCTGCTGCCAGTCCTGCGCCGGGCGGCGGCAGCGACGGAGCCGGGAACATGGCGGCCGCGGCACGCAGCTTCGGGCCCGAGCGGGAGGCCGAGCCGGCTAAAGAGGCTCGCGTAGTGGGCTCCGAGCTCGTGGACACGTACACGGTGTGCAGGGGGCGCAGGCACCCGAGATGGGGGTGGGGGCTGGAAGCCGGAGTCCGGGTCAGGGGGCTTGAGGAGGGGTCTGTCTGGCCCCGCAGCCGGGAGGACCTTCTCTGCTGTGGCGTGAATGGGGGCCTCAGGGGGGCGAGAGTGAGGACGGGTCTTGGTCCCGTAGGTCCCGGGAGGGGTGGCCCGCCCGGGGCGGGGATTCGGCAAGGGGTTACTCTGGAAGGCAGCATCCACTCGCTGGGATCTGGGGAATAATGGGTACCTGGGCGGGGATCCTCCAGGCCTGGTGGGTTGCAGCCTGCCAGGCTTTGATCGCGGGTTTTGGCCGCGGGGAATTGGGAAAGGGGACTCAGGTTTTAGGTCTGGAAGCGGAGAAGATAAAGTCCCATCGGGCCCAAGGCCCTTGAGGGGTCGGGTGGAGACCAGAACTAGCCTGGAGTGGAGCTCCGCGGTGGGTTAAAGGGCGAGGCTGGGGGGGGGGGGAGGGGGGAATGTTGTAGCTCAGGCCTGAAGTCGAGATTTTACAAACCTTCGTGGGTTTGGGTTGTGGGGGCGAGATTGGCAGTAACAGCCAACACACATTTCTAGGCAGTGAGGGAGAATGAGGATAATAAAGGGAGGTAGTTCCCCAAGGCAGTAAGATAGGATGTTCCCCCCCAACCCCCAAGTCTACTGGGGATTGGATGCCAGGCCTAGGACTCTAGTAGGCTGCCCTACCCTGGGGTAGGGACTCAGTGAACCCCCTCCCAGCCTCCTTTTCTTTGTTCTAGGAGAGTGGGGAGTGGGTGGGGGGCCTTAGTCCAGCCTGTGCCACACCTCCTTGGCCCCTATCCTGACCTTCCCCTGTCTCCTGTCTTCCTCTGGCTCTTTTTCTTTTCCTGGATAGGAAAGAGAGGAATCCTTCAGGATGGAAGACAGGCTGGGGTTGATATTTAAGCAACAGGCCAACCCTGGAAAAATAGCTGGTTTTCAGGGTTAGAGGATTCAGCTAAGTTGAGTATTTCCTCTTCCCCTTTTCCTATTGAAGAGAGGTGGGTAAACTAAGACCAGGGACTGGTCTAGAGCTAAGGATGAAGATCCTGAACTGATGGCGGACAGACCGTCATTCATCGGCTATACTCAGCTGGAGAGTCATTCTCTTAAAAGCTCTCTTTATTGTTGGTTTTCCTCCCATACTGGAGGCAAGAAGGTGACTTGCAGTCTGTCTCTGTTCTGTTACTGAGTGTGTAAATCGGATGTTTATTAGCACATCTATCTTTTGTTAGGTGTCATGAAGCATTTTATATGTATTTCCTTATTTGCTCCTTAAGCCTACCAGGTTTTAAGATGGAGGAACTGACGCCTGAAAGAGCTCCTAGTCATTCACATAAGCCACAGCCAGGAAGTAGCAGAAACAAATTTTGGACTCAATTATTTCTTAACCATTAAACCATATTGCCTTGTGGTAGGGCTAATTACCTATCACTGCCTCCCCCCAGCAGTTTCTTAGTGCCTTAACCTCTGTTCCGCAGAAGTCCTAGCTACAAGCCAGTTGAAAAGGTTGACAAAGATTTGCTTCTAGGATGGAGTCAGCACATGGAAACTGGTACAGCAGAAAAGCTGGTCCTTCCAGACCTGACCTGCTCTGCCTCCTTTGGAGGCCTTGCTCACTGCTCAAGTAGGGTTTTGAGTTACCTAGAGGCAGGAGGCAAAAGCAAGGAGACGCCTTATTGTTGTAGAGTCACCTTTTCCATTCCTTAACAAAAGAAGCCACAGCCTTGCCTCATGTGTGCCTCATTGTCCTAAAGCTAGGGCTGTGGAAGAGGCTAAGGGAGTCTGTGGCTGGCCAGCAAGGGTCAAGTGCACAGTCAGTTAGTGAAGGGTATCCAACTTTGCTATTAGTGGAGGAGGTATCTGAATGTCTGTAGTTACTGTCTAGTTCTCCTTGCCACAGGATTGTCATTTTCCTCTTTTAGGTTTATATCATCCAAGTCACAGATGGCAACCATGAATGGACAGTCAAACACCGCTACAGTGACTTCCATGACTTGCATGAAAAGGTAACCCATAGTAGCTAGGAGCTTGTCTCTCAGGGCTTGGGACCTTGGGACCAAGTTCCTATTGTGCAACACATTAGTTTCAGGGCAAAACCACCACCACATCTATTAAAACAAAAATCCAGAAAAGAAAAAAGGAAATAAAGGTAGTTTATTAATGTAACTGACAAAAGAACTGGTGGATCCTAGGAATTTAACTCTAATCTGCATATGAGTTTTTATTTAAAAATTGCCCTTCTTGAATATGAGACTGTTTTCCAGGGACCGGACAGGTTTGAACTTGTTCTACTTAATACAGCAATTGCAGAGTCTATTCTTTAACATCTGGCTGTGATTCCATTTCTTTATTTGCTTTTGCTGCCTTTCTCTGGATGATTTGCAGTAGGAGAGTCTTTATGACATCCCATCGCCTCCATTGGATTTCTTAATGCTTTGGAAGAGGTGGACATTTCAGGAGCCCAGAAATACCACTTTTCTGAGTATCTCCAAAGTCTTTAGGTGCAATTCCTCATCTGTAATTGTATTGGTATTTCTAATACTAATTGGATTTGAAGAGGTCAAATGCCATGTGCTCTAGTTTGGTCACGAATCCTAGTACTACTGTGGGAAGGCTGAGAAAATTGTGACAGTGCCTGCTCTTGTCTGCTAACTTTAGTCTTATGTAGACCAGAACTTGTTGGTCTGTGGTTGATATACTTATGTTTTCTTACAGCTTGTTGCAGAGAGAAAAATTGATAAAAATCTACTTCCACCCAAAAAAATTATTGGCAAAAACTCAAGAAGCTTGGTGGAGAAGAGGGAGAAGGATCTGGAAGTGTACCTCCAAACACTTCTGGCTGCCTTCCCTGGCGTGGCCCCCAGAGTGCTGGCCCAGTTCCTGCATTTTCAGTTCTATGTAAGTTCCTCTTGGAGTTCTTTACCCTGTCTATAAATCCACAACCACCACTTGAGGCAGCAAGCCATAAAGCTCAACTTTGAAAAATAGGCTGGACTTAGACCCTTAGATTAGAAGATGGAGTGGGCTGTGAGCAAAAGCACATACGTTGGTATGTGCGTAATTTAATTAAACTAACTGTGGTCAAGATTTTCTTCTACCAAGGGACATTTTGTTTAGTAGAAATGCTCTGTGGATGTTTAAGGTAGGTTTCCCATCAGATAAGTGAGGTTGAATTAGAGACAGCTGACACTTGGCATAGACTCTTTTTGAGACTAAGTAAGGGATCAGACTGTTATGGGAGAATATTACCATTTTAAGGCACATCATCAGGGTACTTAGACTAAGGATAGACATCTTCCTCCCATAGGAGACATGTGGTAGAGCACTCTTCCTTCTGGATAGTGTAATAGTCATGGGCTGCTAGTATCAGAATAAGTTGTCAAACCTCATGGCATGGTGGCACATGCCTGTATTCCCAGCATTCAGAGGCTAAAGCAAAAGGATCATGAGTTTAAGGCTAGCCTAGGCCACTTAGCAAGATATTGTCAATAGATAGGTAAACAGGTAGGGAGATAAGTAGTCAGAACTTGGAAAGGACAACTTGTCATTGTGAAACAAAAATGTTAAAAGTACCACCAGTGGCTCATGTTTATAATCCTAGCTACGCAGGAGGCTGAGATCTGAGATCATGGTTTGAAGCTGGCCTAGGCAGGAAAGTCCATGAGACATTTCTTATTATGGGATGCTTCATGAATGTGCACGTCATCCTTGTGCAGGGGCCATGCTAACCTCTGAATTGTTGCAATTTTAGTATATGTGCTGCCAAAGTGAGCAGAGACTCTTTAACTCTAACCACCAAAAAGAAAAGAAGCAATGGCCCAAGTGGTAGAGTCCTAGCCTTGACCATAAATGCTCAGGCAGCCAGGGGCTGGTGGCTCACGCCTGTAATCCTCGCTGAGCTCTGAGGATCGTGGTTCAGAGCCAGAAGGTGGAGCTGTGGCTTACATGATAGAGCTCTAGCCTTGACCACAAAAGCTCATGACAGCACCAAAGCACCAGGAAAGGCAAACACAAAAAGAACCACTGGATTGAACAAATGGGTTCTGATAGCTTTGTTATCCTTTTCTAAGGGGTCACTATAAATTTTTCTCTTAACCTTTGTACCATCAGTGTCCCCTCTGGAGTTGTTAAGATGTGTTTCATTTCTTGTGTAACTAGCGTTGGACAGGATGGACTCGGAGAACCCTGTTTGGCTATGGTATGGATATCTTTTTGTTGGTGGTTGTGGGGCTTGAACTTAAGTTCTGGACACTGTCCCTGAGCTGTTTTTGCTGAAGGCTAGCACTCTGACACTTTGATCCACAGCACCATTTCTAGGTGTTTTTGTTTTTGTTTTGGGGGGTGGTTAATTGGAGATAAGAGTCTCACAGAATTTCCTGCCCAGTTTGGCTTCAAACCATGATCCTTAGATCTCAGCCTCCTAAGTAGCTACGATTATATGCGTGAGCCACCAGCACCCAACTTGGATTCCTTTTTAATTGAAGTTCACATACCATGAAATTCTCACTTTCAAAGTGTACATTCAGTAGTTTTTAGTATAGTCACAAAATTGTGAATCTAATTCTATGATGTTTCATCGCCCCCAATAACCCTGTTCCCATTAGCAGAACTTTAACCCTTCCTACACTCCTACCCCAACCTGTGTCAGTCACTAACATACTTTCTGTCTCTCAGTTTTGCCTAATATAGATACCACATATAAATGGTTCATACAACATGTAGCTTTTTGTAACTGATTTTATTTAGTCTTGTTTTGAAGGTCCATTCATATTGTCACATAGTATCTGAATGTAGGAGTCCTTATCATGGTTTCGCCCTCCATGGGTTCAATTCCATAGGTAACCATGGTCCAAAAATGTTAAATGAAAAATTCTGAAAGTAATTCACAAGTTTCAAATTATGTATCATTCCAAACAGTGCAATGAAAATTCCTGCTATCCCTCCTAGGACATGAATCACTCTGGATTTGAGTCCACTCTGTATACAGGTCACTTAACTCTTCTTTATTTAATAATGGCCCCAAAGCTCCTGAGTGGTTCTAGCAATCTGGATGTACCATCAAGAAGCTGTAAAGTGGCTTTCTTTAAGTGAAAAGGTAAAAATAGAAGACACTTTGAAAGAGACCACATTATAATATATTGTTAGGCTTCTATTTGAGTATTAATTGCTAATACCTTCATATACCCATTAGATAGATTTTACTTCATTATATGTGTGTGTTTGGGATAAAAACAAACATAATATATAAAGAGTCCGGTATTAACGTCAGGTTTAGGCCCCTACCAAGGATCTTGGAACAGATCCCTCATGGATAAGGAGTGACTATTGTACCACATTATCTACCATCCATATCTATTCATCAGTTGATGAATGGATTGTTCCCCTTTTTTTTTTTGGTGCCAGTACTGGGGTTTGAACTCCAGGACTTGGGAGCTGTTACTTAGATTTTTTTGCTCAAGGGTGGTACTCTACCACTTGAGGCACACCTTCATTTCTGGCTTTTTTGCTGGTTAATTGTAGATAAGTGACTCATGGACTTTCCTGCCAGGGCTGGCTTTAAACCATGATCCTCAGATCTCAGCCTCCTGAGTAGTTAGGATTATAGGCATGAGCCACCAGTGCCCAGCTTCTTTCTGCTTTTGAGCTGTTAGGAGTAATGCTGCTGTGAACATTAACTCTCTCTTATCCATGGGGTATACATTCCAAAACACTGAATTGATGCCTAAAATCATAGATGGTATTGAGCTCTTGTCATACTGTTTCTTTCTATACATACATGCATGCACGCATAGAGATGTACATGTACATGTCTGTGCCATTAAAAAATTTTGTTTGTGCTGGTACTGGGATAAGCCACCAGCACCCAGCTGTCAGCCACTGACATCTATTCTTATCTATACTATCAATACTGAGCACTTTTTCATGCATCATGCTCACAATTGGCATTTGGAGTTGTTGTTGATGTTGTTGTTGCTGTTACCGCCAGGCCTGGGACTGGCAGATCCTAGGCATTGTTGCTAAGCTTTTTTGCTCAAAGCAAGTGCTCTACCACTTGAGCCACAGCTCCACTTCTGGCTACAATTGACAGTCAGAAGTGACAGCAAAACTGGCAGGAGCTTATTCTTTCTCAACAATTTTCTGGATAGAAGATTCACTTAAGCAAGCATTTAAAGATTTTCCTATGCTATATCACTACTCTGGTGCTTTGAAACGGTTACTGAGGGGCTGGGAATGTATCTTAGCAGTAAAAGTGCTTGCCTCTCATGCATGAAACTCGGGGTTCGATTCCTCAATACAACATAAACAGAAAAAGCCAGAAGTGGTGCATTGAGAAGACGTGGTTGCTAGAACACAAGTACTTCATTCCTGTGGTAACTGAGATGGCCATATACCATATATGTAGTGTTAGTATGCTGGACACAGGTCTGGTTCATGTTGCAGGACAACAGTTGATTTCCTTATGGTTCTCAGAATAGTATGCAATTTAAAATGTAAGAGTTATTTACTTCTGGTCCAGGCACTGGGGGCTCACACCTGTAATCTTAACTACTTAGCAGGCTAGGATATGAGGATTATGATTTGAAGATAGATTGGACAGGAAAGACTGTTATAAGACTGTTACTTCCAATAAAATTAACAAAAAGCTATACGTGGAACTATGGCCCAAGTAGTAGAGCGCTATCCTCAAACACTAAAGTTTAGGAATGGTGCCCAGGCCCTGAGTTCAAGCCCCTGGAGTTCTCTGTTTAATGGTTGTTGATTGCATGGTGTGATTAAACCAGAGAAAAATGAAACTGTAGTTACAGTAAGACTACTATGTACATCTCTGTGCGTGCATGCATGCATGCATGCGTGCACACATGCTGCTTCTAAAGCTTGAACTCAGGGGGTTGAATTCAGGACCTGGGCGCTGTCCCTAAGTTTTTGTGCTCAAGGCTTAATACTCTGCCACTTGAGCCATAGCTCTACTTCTGGCTTTTTTTGGTTGGGGGGGGGTCTGGTCGTGGGGCCTGACCTCTGGGCCTGGGCACTTCAGCTCTTCAGCTCAAGGCTAACGCTCTACCACTTGAGCCACAGCGCCACTTCTGGCTTTTTTCTTTTTGCTGAGGAATCGAACCCAGGACCTCATGCACGCAAGGCAAGCGCTCTACCACCAAGCCACCTTCCCAGTCCCCCTTTTTTTTGTAGTTAATTGAAGATCAGAGTCCCACAGACTTTCCTGCATGGGCTGGCTTTCAACCACACTATAGGTGGCTTGGATTTGCTTTTCAGAAATGGAAGCTAAGTCACATTGTAACTTTGTCTTGACTTTTTGAGGAACTGGCATAGTACAAAAATGTAGCCAGAGTTGCTACATTTTTACATTCCTACTAGCAGTGTATAGGTTCTCTTTTTTTTCTTATTATTAATTTGTAATCTTTCTAACACTTTGTTGTTCGTTCTTTAAAATCCTAGACATTCTAATGGGTGTGACATTGTTCTCGTTATGGTTTTGGCTTGCATTTCCAAAACAACTAGTAATGTTGGTCTCTTCATGTGCTTATTGGCCCCTTTTTGGTGCTAAGTATCAAACCCAAGGCTTCATGAATGCTACTAATACACTTTACAATTGAGCTATATCTCCCAGCCTTTACTTTCTTGATAGTGACCTTTGATGTGTAAAAGTTTCAGTAGGAGAACAAAGCCTTTTAATATAGTTCAGACTACTGTTTTTAGCAGGGAGGAAAAGGTCTTGTTATGTAGTTCAGACTGGCTTAGAACTCAAAATCCTCCTGCCACAACTCCCCAAGTGCTAGGACCATAGGCATCTGCCACCACACCTAGCCAACTTTTAAAGGCTGATAAAGGAAAAATTATTTATTCATCTATTACTTATTATTCTGGTCACTTGTGTTTTTGTTATTATATCTGAAAATCATTTATAACATATTCTTCTAAGAATTTTAGCTTTAGCTCTTACATTTAAGCTTTGATTGATTTGGGGTTAGATGGAGAGACAGCCAGAGCCGAGTTTATCTTCCAGCCTAGCTTCTTTCCAGCAGCAGTTTATCCCATATCAGTCATTTTACTTTTCCATGCCCCAGTTGCTTTATTTAGTGAGTTGGAGGTTGCTAACAGGGCCTATTTGAAAGGAAGTCAAGAACTTAGGAGATGGCTCATAGCTCACTACATACTGGGCTTCCTAATAAAGAAAGATACTCAATTCTCTTGAAAGATGATGTGTTATATTCTTTTTTTTTTTGGTCAGTTGTGGGGCTTGAACTCTGGGCTTGGGTCCTGTCCCTGCACTCTTCAGCTCAAGGTGAGCACTCTCCCGCTTGAGCCAGAGCCACTTCCAGTTTTCTGGTAGTTTATTGGAGATAACAGTCTCACAGTCTTTCCTGCCCAGGCTGACTTTGAATCGTGATCCTCAGATCTCAGCCTCCTGAGTAGCTAGGATTACAGGCATGAACCACTGGAGCCTGGCAATTTGTTATGTTCTTATTTCAAAGCCACTTAGCTATTACAAAGATGTTTTTCAGAGTTTCAAATTAGGGGTGATAATGAGATTGTTGCCATTTTACTGTTGTTTTAATATTCAACTTATTTCCATAGTTTTAGCTGCAAAGGAATGAGATTATGAATGATAACAGATTTCTTTTCAGCGTATAGTCTTAAGAGTTCTCTTAAAGTTTACATTTGAATCTTTCTGTGAGGAATGTCTCAAGTCAAAACACAAATAATATGCCTGACCCATGTTTGCATGTCCATTTACCAAGATAAAATAAAAGTCAT